CCAGCTTGGGTATATCTTTTTTGAGTATAGTTTTTTCTTTTTTAAAACATATTTTGAGACAGGGCTTCATTAAGTAGACCAGGCTGGCTTTGAACCTTAACCTCTTAACCTCTGAGCCATCTCTCCAGCACCATTTGACAGCATTCTTTTTTTTTTGTCAGCATTTCCTTAGTCTTTTCAAAATCTAAATATTTCCGTTGCATGTTTGTTTTCCCTTTTGCTAATTTTTACTTTCCTGTTATTTTCTTCAGGTTTATTTCATTCTTTTTCTAGCTTCCTTTATTATGTTAGAAACTCACAAGATCTCGCTGATGGTGGCACACACCTGGAGGCAGTAGAATCAGTTCAGTTATGCTAGGTGCCATAAGCGAGTCCTTGTTCCAGGGGCAGCACTGTGCGTGGGTGTGGCCTCACTGAGGGTCTGTGTGGACTGTGAATGAGGCTCATATCCTGTTGTCACAGTAGGCCCTAGTCCACCTGTGACTTTGTGTAGGGACCCATCCCATACACTTCCTGTTTTCTGTTATATTTAGAGGTAAGGTCACACTGTACCTCAGGCTGGTCTCGAGCTCAGGCGCCTGTGCTAGGGTTGCAGGTGTGAGGCCTCTCACCCATCCTCCTTTTGTCTGATGTCTTCCAGTGTTTACAGTCTTCAGTCAAGGACTTCCTCCAGATAGCACACATATCTGGTCCCCTAACCACTGCCTTCCTGCAGATAATCTCATAGCTCAAGCCTCCAGTCTCTCCTACTTGGCTCGCATGGGATTTTGGCAGCCAAGCTCTGGGTTATCTCCAGGGGTCTGGATTTACCTGGGAAAGGCAGGTAGCTTCTACAGAGGAACTAGAGCCATGGTGGGTGGCCAGCTTTGCTGCTTCCCTGATCTCCCTGTGCTTTCCCCAGCTTCATCACGTTCCGCTCCTGTGCTTACCTGGATAAGAAGCACACCATCTTCGGACGGTAAGAGTGGATGCCATGCATGTTTGCAGTGCGGTGTGGGCCTCACTGCCTTTCCCTAGACGGGGCATTCCCACACCGTCCCCGCTGAAGACTGTGGGTGTTCCTGGGGAAAGGTTGGCTGTCCTGTAGAGCCAAGGAGACAGACCTGGGTGCCCTGGCTCCTCTTCCCTCTCAGGCGCCTTTTTGGATGTCTGAAGCAGTCCCTTCTCCTCAGCCCCTAGTGTGTCCCACAAAGGACAGTCCGTGCCAATGATTCAATTGTAGAGTTATAGGGGTACATAGAGTTAGAGCACAAAGGATTATTAGTTCCTGGCCAGCCTCAGTCACTTAGACTTGGTAAGACCCTGCCTTAGTAAAGAGGGGGAAACAAAGTATGGAAACAAGGGTGTGATTTTGTCCAAGGTAGGACTTCAGTCAGCACACCTGGGTGGGTGTGGTCGCTGCCCCCTTCTCTGCTGTGGCCCATCCTGTCCTGCCTGGTAACTGGTCTACAGTCCTTCTCCTGCCTGGTGACTAGTCTACAGTCCTTCTCTTGGTATATTTTGACTCTGCCATGAATGGTACTCTGCTCAGGGTACACAAAGACCCAGCCCTGTCTCTCTACTATAGGGTTGTTGGGGGTTTTGACACGCTGACAGCTATGGAGAATGTGGAGAGTGACCCCAAAACTGACCGTCCTAAGGTATGTACCTTGGAGAACAGAGGACCACTGCCTACTGGGTGCTGGCTGGGGAAGTCTGCTGCTTGCTCACAGAGTCCCTCTGCCCCCAGGAGGAAATACGCATATGTGCAACCACGGTGTTTGTGGACCCCTATGAGGAGGCTGATGCCCAGGTGAGAAAGGTGCCAGACAGGTTATGTGGTTGTTGGTTGGGAACAAGAGGACGCACCCCGAGGCTCTAGATGAGTGAGGAGACCCCACTCTGGACTCCGCGTCAGACAGTTTTGCTACCCCCAGATTGCCCAGGAGCGGAAGAAGACACAGCAGCAAGTGGATCCAGAGGCCAAGGTCAAGACGAGCCAGCCCCAGCCTGGAAGCCAGGGCCCCCAGACATACCGCCAGGGGGTGGGCAAGTACATCAACCCAGCAGCCACGTGAGTGTGCTTGATGGTGGCCTCTCTCCTGTCTCTGATGCTGTCTTCTCACAGTGATCCCAGGGGGTGATAGCACAGGCCGACCAGGTGATGGTGGCGCACTCCTTTAATCCCAGCACTTGGAAGTTCGAGGCCAGCCTGGTTTATAGAGTGAGTTTCAGAACAGGCTCCAAAGTTACACAGAGAAACGCTTTCTCGAAAAACCAAACCCACAGGCCAGACTAGAGACTAGAGCTAAGGGTCTAGAAAGGATGCTTTAGTGGGAGTAGCACTTTGTAGAGGACAAGGACGCCTCTGCAGGGAAAGCTGCTTATGTGTGGAGCGTCCTCAGAGGGCTGAGCATGGGCGCCTAGCTCTTCTGTGGCAACTGGAGTAGTTTTCTTTGTGTCTCAGGAAGCGAGCAGCAGAGGAAGAACCATCAACCAGCACAGCTGTCCCCATGGCCAAGAAGAAGCCCAGCCGGGGCTTTGGGGACTTCAGCTCCTGGTAGCAGCAGGCTGGTCTCATGGTTCCTGGTAGGGTGCATGGCTGTGGGCTTCAGTCTCTGAGCTGTCTGTCCTTGTCAAATTTGGCTCTGAGCCAATAAACCTCTTGCCTATGGCTGGGTCCAGTTTTGGCCCCTAGGACCCCTGGCCTCTTGATGCCTTGTCTGGTGCCAATGGCCCTGTCTTGGGTTGGTGAGGAAGGCTGTGTCCTTTACTCCCACCCCAGCCATCTCTGCCCCAGGATGGCTATGTGCTCACTCAGCACAGTTCCCTGGCTAGTGCCACCACCGGTGTATTCTTCAAAAAACGCAGATGCTCAGGGAGCCGCTATAATCCCAGCATTCATTCCGAATGAATGCGAAGGCAGGAAAGTTGAGGGCTCAGGGCTAACCTGGGCTATAAAGGGAGACTCTCTCAAAAGAAATTTAGATGTGGAGATTGAGACTGGTTCTCAGACCCTGGTTTGGATCCTGAAGTGGAGTTTGCCCTCCCAGGCTGACAAGATCTCGCCAGCTTCCTTCTGTTGACAGCACTTCCCTAAGCACTCGCTCTGCCCTTGCCTGAGGCAGGCGTGTTTGATGTCCTGTCTGCTCAGCTGCCCAGTCAGTGGCTTGTGCTGTGATTTAGGAATCCCTGCTGATTCCTTTCTACTGACCGTCACTAACTACTTATTTTGTGCTTTTGAGACAGGGTCTCTCTGTATGTACCCTTAGCTGTCCTGAAACTATGTAAGGTCAAGCTGGCCTTGAACTCAGATCCACCTGTTCCTACCTCCCCAAGTGCTGGGATTAGAGATGTGCGCCATGCCTGGTTTACCAACTCCTTCTGATTCCAGGGCAGTCTCTTGATCCTGAAAATGATTTTATAGCTTGGCAGTGGTGGCGCACACCTTTAATCCCAGCACTCAGGAGGCAGAGACAGGCGGATCTCTGAGTCCGAGGCCAGCCTCATCCACAGAGCGAGTCCCAGGACAACCACAGCTATTATGTAGAGAAACCCTGTCTCAAAAAACCAAAAGAGAAAAGGCCTTTGGCATCGGCTCTTCTGTGTCCGAACAGCTTCTAGCCATCGTTTGTCATTACTTTGCCTTCCATCTTGAACATGAGCTGACTTCCAGCTTTCCCCAGCTGCCCCTTCAGAAGTGTGGGCACTGTGTCCTCTGGAGGCTGTGTCATGTCGTGGCGTATATTCTCTGGCCTGCCTATGGCTCCCTTGTACTTGGGGTACCACATTAAATTGTAACTTAGGCTTGATTCTTGGTTTTTTTTGTTTTTCTTATCTTGCCCAAAACCTTGTGTCCACAAAATCCCTAAAGTTCTTGAGAATGTAGCCTGGACTTCTTTTCATTTCTGATGTTAAAACCACAGCCCAAGCCTTCTCTATTTCTGGGAGATGGACAGTCTGTCCTGCCTCACTACCTGTCTCCCCTCATCCACTTCCAGCTGCTCTTGCATGATCTCAGGGCATGAGTGCTGCTCATCACCGGCTCTTCTTGAGGCGAGAATGTGGTCTGGTCCCTGCTCACAGGCCAGTTACACTCCAGCCTAGCCCACTAAGCCACCTGCCTGTGGGTGTCACTTCAGGTCCCGACTCCCTGGTGTCCTTCCACCCTGCCTTCCTCTACCCTTTCAGGATCCTCTCTTGATTCCTCTGCTATAGGCAAGCTGATATGTCACAATTATGACGGGTCATGAAGCCGGGACCAGATACAGTGACACACCTGTAGTAACTTAGGAAGTCTTAGGAAGAGGAGGAAGGAGGATCATTGCATATTCTAGGCCAGTTGAGGCCACATAGCAAGATCCTATCCTCTAAAATAAAAACGAAAGAGAGGCAGACAGATGGTGGGACCTTGTCTGAAAGAAAAAGTGAAAAAGCCCAGGGCTGCAGAGCAGGGCTCCTCTGCGGCTCTGTGCGACAGAGGCAGTGCCTCGTACTTTCCTCAGGCCACACTCCCGGGAGCCTGGGTCCTCAAGGGCTCTGGAGCCTTGGCACGTCCTTTGCTCCCAGTGGATGCTGCAGAAGTTGTGGTCATCTCTCTGCAGAGAGGCCCACCTCCGAGATGGCAAGTGCGCTGCAGACCTTGCTGTCTGACGTCAGCAGCTCTATTTCTGTCCCTCACAGACGTCACCAAGGGCTGGCAGCTTTGGCCAGGCGACAGGGGAGCCACGGGTGCTTTGTATGCTTGAGCTTGGTGGCCCTGATACACTCACGGCGAGCTCCCAGTTGCTTCCAGGTCGCTGTCCGGTCAGCCTTACCCAGCAGCCTACATTTGTCCAAGGGGGCAGCTGTGTCCTTTTCTGCTCTTGTCCTCTGGGAGAGAGGACAGGACCCACCAGGGCTTACATTTCCACGGGTTTTATAAAGTGTAAATGGCAGCTTTTTAGACAGTAATGACGCTTGGGTTCTGAAAACTGCCTCATGAGGTCATCAGAAAATAAAGGACTTTTTAAAGGAAAAAAAATTCTCATTTCTGATCTTTTCAGCTATCCAACAGATGCCATCAAGAATAAACATTAAGATATAAAAATACTATGTCTATGCTAACAAGACAGCAACAAAATAAACCACATTTCTAAAGCAGAGTGGCATTTATGACCCGGCATCGCCTCCCAATGTTGTAAGATCGTCATAGACGATGCTGTTTGGAAAGTGATGTTTAGCAGCTCACCAGCACATCTGGTTGTGGTCTTGCATCGCTTCCCCTGCAGCCAGCTCATGGTCAGTTCTTTTGATTTAAAAAGTTTGTATTTCACAGAAGGCCAACACAAAATCCAAAAAACTCCATAAAAGTTTTGTTGGTATCCATTATCCCCCCGCATACAAAATAAGTCATAAAGAGTACTAGCAAAAATTTTCCAATCAATGCTATCACAAAAGACAATACAAAGTGCTCAAGTAGAAGGGCAGAAAGCTTGCCCAGAACATAAAAAAAGCTGTAAATATAATCTTAGTATATACAGAAACTGGTCAGAAATCCTAGGCTCTTCAAGTGAAGCGTGAATATATATATTCGGGGTGCTCCCACCTTTGCATCTGATGGTGACATCTGGTCTCCCAAGCCTCAGCTACCAAGTTCCCACTTGTAAGAGTATTGAAACTAGTGCTGTGTCCACTGTGAGCAGACTGCTGACGAGTGTTCATTCTAGACAAGGATGGAGCCTGGGCCCTGCTAGATTTCACTCAGACTAGCTGCCTGTGCTCCACTTCACTGGTTACCTTACTGGTGGTGTAACCTTGCTTTGGGTCAACCTTAGTCTGGAGGGAACCATAGTCGGGGAGAAAGCAGCTTCGACCAGGACCAGGCATAGAGGCTCACAGACTGTGCAAACATGTTTTCTACTACCCATTAGTCTGGAGGGAACCATAGTCGGGGAGAAAGCAGCTTCGACCAGGACCAGGCATAGCAGCTCACAGACCGTGCAAACATGTTTTCTACTGCACAGGCATTTTTTGTGTTACTAGGCTTTCGATCTTGGGCAAAGAGATGGTGCCAAAGTGCCAGCTTTGGAGTGAGCAGGGCGCTGTGCTGGCGAGAGGGTCTGAGTTTAGAAGGTTTGGGGCTGGGAGCCCAGAGGACTGGACGCTGCTCTTGGACTAAGCACCCCAAGCAGCAGCTGGGGCCGACCGCTTTTCCTGGCATGCTGCCTTCCCAGCTCTTGGGTGCTCAGCCTTCCTGGACCTTCTTTCTGCTCTTTTGCCCTGTGTTTGGTACAAAAAGTTGAACCGCAAAACTTATCTGGGAATGGTTCTGGCCTCTGGCCTCTGCTAACTGGTCACTCCTGTAGATGCGTGGAGGATTACAGGTTGTGACTTAAAGTCTGTGAGACGCAGGGCTTGGGAAGTGGCCAGATCCCTCCCTGTCAGCTCAGGAAGTGATCCCAGGCAGGAAAGGCAGCTCCCACACTAAGATAACTCTTCCTTCATCATGGAAAGTCTCAAGTTCAGAAGTTTTCTGTGCTAGCTCTGGCCTCTGTATGCATAACTAACTATTTCAAGTACATCCAGGGTACAGAGTGGACCCCAGCTGCTGTTCTGACAGGGACCAGCCCCACATACGAGCTGCTGTGCTGCTGTGCTGCTGTGGCACTGGGGGTCACCTCAGTGGCCTGGGACGGAATGCTTAGCCACTAGTCACCTGCTTTCTCCGTAAGGAGACAGGGATGTAGCTTTTAGCTTAAATAAAATCACTAAAAGCTTTCTTCCTTAGCTTCTCTAAGATGTCACCAGTGGCTGGTTTCTGTTTTTGAAGCCATATGCTCTGTTGGCTATTCTGGAAGACTCTTCAGAACGAGACCCTGCTTGTATGCATTAGGGGCCTGGCTTTGGTGGAAACCCAGGCAGACTATGTGGAAGGCGTGCGGAGTTATTAACTAGGCAGGTGAGTCAGTGGTTGCTTAATTCTTTCTCTAGAATGTGAGAAGTTAGAAAAAGAATGCGAACTTCCAGAAACAACAGTGAACACGAAGGGGCTCGGATGGGGACGCCTTACCCAGTGAACAGTCTAGAGAGGCCTTCAGGTGTTGAGCTGGGCTGGCCTGTGAGGTTAAAGTTCCAGAAGTATTGTCACCAGAAGCTCGGTCTTCGTCATACTTAGCGTTGATAAAATGTATGCAGACAGGAGTGGGGGCTTCGCTCTATTCCCAGCCATTGTCTTTGATCATGTGGGCAAGTTCAATAATAAATTTTCCTTCTTTGTATTTCTGACTGCTCTCAAAGGCATGTTCCTTGAGGGGAAAGTAGAAAGAAGATTTCAGGACACACTCTGTTTCATTTTCTTGCTCTATTACACTCTTGGTAAATGGGAGTTTGGAGCATCATCTACGCTTAGATGTTCTTTGAACTGTGCACTGACCTAGGCCCAGGAGGATCCATGGGTTGGTACACTTATGAGCAGTGTTAACACAGATCTGCTCCTGAGGCTGGGATGCAGCTCAGTACACTGTTTGGTGTGCCTGTGTCTCTGGGCTCCATCCTCAGCACCACAGACACACTGCTCACTTGGCACTGATTGGATGTGAGTGTTTCAAGAGACGTGAAGGAGAGTCATGAGAACAGTCAACAGCACACAGCTGAGGCTGGGTCGTGTGTGTGTGTGTAGGCCAGCTGTCCTGGAACCAGCTTTTCTACACCAGGATGGCCTTGAACTCAGAGATCTGCCTCAGCAAATTAAGCAGAGCTTGGGGAGACACCAGACATCAGCCTCTGGCTTCCAGGTATATACCTGGGAACATGCATACAGAAGTGTGCACATCACACACACAGGAACATGCATGCAAAAGTGTGCACGGCACACACATACACGGGAATATACATACAAAAGACTACAGTGTCTCACACACATGGTAACATGCATGCAGAAGTGTGCATGTCACACATGGGAAATGCATACTGAAGTCTGCAACCAGCACACACATGGGAACATGCAAACAGAAGTGTGCAACCATCTCTCACACAGGAACATGCATATAGAAGTGTGCACTTCACACATACAGGAACATGCATACAGAAGTGTACACTTTACACACACAGAACATGCATACAAAAGTGTGAATTTCACACACAGATGCAAACAAACCACAAACATGTCTCTGGAGTGCCAGGCAGGGTGCAACATCACAAGGTGGCTTCTATTAGGGGATAAGCTGAGGCAGAGGTAGACATTAAAGAGCTGACCAGAACATGTCCACAGAACCACAGCAGCCAAGTGGCTCTTGAGACTAAGGTGGCAGCAGACAGTGTCTGGCCTTTGCAGTAGAGGGGCGGTGTTCAGAGCCCCCGGTTGAAAGTAAGGCAAAAGCCAACAGCGGCAAGCTTGTCAGCTTTGGTAGCCAATCAATTTATGCATGGAGAGAAGCTGGAGACAGGCAGGCTGGCAACCCTCGCTCGGGATCTGAGAAAGCGTGATCTTGGGAAGAGAACCTGGGGACTGTCACGCCCTTGTGCTCAACAGAGGCACACGGTGCGCTCCGTCCTGCACGGTTGGAAGGAACCGCTGGGAACCTGCAATCCTTGTGTTTGAGACAGGATCCTGTATCTTAGGAACTGATCCACGTGCCTCCACCTCCTGAGTGCCCTCTGCCTGCGTGTGTGTGTTTGTGTGTGTGTGCCCGCTTGCTGTGGCACTCAAGTTGCAAGAGCTGGTTCTCTCTTCCTATCACGTGGATCCTGGGGTCAGACCCAGGCTGTTACCCACTGAGCCATGGCTCTGTGACATTTTATGAAGCTGTGGGGATAGAAGGCTTTGTGCATACCTCTGAAGCACTATGCGCTGAGCTACGTCCCCATGAGAACCCGCAGTGTCCGACCGATGTTACCATCCCTCTCAGGCCCAGGTACTCACGTATTTCCACCCGAGCGTAGTCTTGCAGTTCTCACAGTAGATGTCGGCCACTGCATGCAGCCCGGTCAGAAGGACTCTCTCCTCAGCAGGGCCGCAGCCCACATTCACCCTGTCAAGAAGCAGGGTGACTATGCTGGAGGTCCCCTTGCCCAGTCCCCTTTCCCTTCCCCCACATCAAGTGCACGAGAAACAGAATCTCCACACCATCACAGGCGTTTCGGCGCCACCATCACAGACGTTTCGGCGCCACCATCCCCACTTTCACAAGAGGGAATTCATTTTTTTCTTTATGGTGTTGAGGATCAAACCTAGGGCCTCACAGGTGCTGAGCAAGCATTCTACTGAGCCACCCCCAACCCACCCAGGGCACCCTAAAGGGTCAGGCTTGGAGGCTGAACTCTCAGGCACAAGGGTGCTTTCCAAAGCACAGATGCAGGGGCCCAGATTCCTCCAAGCTGATGAAGGCACTGACTGGCGCAGTTAAGTTACACAGCCCGCTCTCACTGAGCGGCCGAGGAAGGGCCGGACACACACGCACGCACGCACGCACGCGCGCGCAACAACACGTACTTACACGGAGTTGAAGAGGTAGGCTCGCCCCTGGCTGCCCTGGAAGGACTGCAAAGAAGAAGAAGGTGTTAGCAGGGGGCAGGCAAGACACCAGAAGCTCTGCTTTCTGGGCTGTTGGAGGAGCAGGTGCAGTCATTTAGCTCAGGCCTGCAGTCACCCCACAGTGCAGTTCCTGAAGTTACAAAGCTCAAGGCTGACACTGCTTCCCCGTTTTTGTTGTTGTTGTTTGTTTGTTTGTTCCCTCCCCCCCCCCCCCCCCGACACAGGGTGTCTCTGTGTAGCCCTGGCTGACCTGGAACTAGCTCTTGTAGACCAGGCTGGCCTCAAACTCAGAGACCCACCTGCCTCTGCCTCCTGAGGGCTGGGATTAAAGGACCCACCACCACCAGCACCAATTTCAAAAGACAATTCTGCATCTAGAAAGAGGTTGGAGTATCACTGTGCAATTGTCAAGGGCTGGACACTGGGACTACCTGCAGCCCCAGTTACAGAGACTTAGGTAGGAGAAATAGTTCAGCTTGGGTTTCAAGGTTGGCTTGGGCAACAGTGAGAAGAGGAAGTCATAGTTAGTAGCTCTGGTAGGTCTGTCAGACTACAGGACTGCACCCTGGGGCTCTAAGGCCAGGTCACAGATAAACATGCTCTTTTCTCATCTCTTGTTTTAGTGTGTGTGTGTAAGGATGCACACCACGTGCATGAATGAGCCCTTGGAAGTCAGAAGAGGGTATCCGATCATCTGGAACTGGAGTTGAAGGAAGTTGTGAGCTGCCATGCTGGCTGGTGCTGGGAACCCACCTGAGGCCTACAGAGGACTGAGCGTGTTGTAACTGCTGAGCCATCTCTCCAGCCCCCTTCTCACCCCTCCCAACACAGTCCTGACACCTCACTGTCTTCAGGTAGTAGAAGGCAAGGGGAAATTTCTGTATTTTTTCCAGTGTCATTAAAGAAAAAAAGTCTTGGCCTGAGCTCAGCATGGCTGTCTGTAATTCCAGCCCTTAGGAGCAGAGGCAGGATGGCCACCATAGGTTAAGGCAAGCATGGCTCACATTCTGAGTTCCAAGCCAGCCAGGGCTACGTGGCTGGACCCTGTCTCGGAAAAACAGAAAACAAAGTCACATCCTGTGCCTGTAGCTCAGCTACTTGGGAGGCTGAGTCATGGGATATTAAGGCCCAGCACAGTGAAGTCCACCTACGGGGGGGGGGGGGGGGGAGGGGCGGATGGACGAGGACACGGACACACGGGACAACGGGACCGGGGACTGAAGAGATGGCTCGGCAGTTAAGAGCACATAACTACTCTTGCAGGGGACCTGAGCTGGGTTCCCAGCACCCACTTGGGCTGCTTGCAACCCTGCAGCTCCAGCTCCAGGGGATCCAATACTCTGACCTCTGAGGACACCATACTCAGATGTACCACATTCCCAAACAGACACACATTTAAGTCTGGAGAGATGGCACAGCAGTTAAGAGCACTTGTAGAGGGACTGGGTTTGAATCCCAACACCCAAATGGTGGCTCACAACCATCTGTAACTCAAGTCTCGGGATTCAATGCCCTTTCTGACCCTCAACAGGCACCAGGCAAAACACTCATCCTTGTAATACCTTTAAAGACAAGCCAAGCAGTGGTCGTGCACACCTTTAATCCCAGCACTCGGGAGGCCTACAAGAGCTAGTTCTAGGACAGCCAGGACTACACAAAGAAACCCTGTTTCAACCCCCTCCCCCTCAAAAAAATGTTGAGCATGACTGCTTGCTCCTGTGACCTCGGTTCTGGGAGGAGACAAGTGGGCGGTCCCTGGGCTCCTGTGACCTCAGTGCTGGGGAGGAGACAAGTGGGCGGTCCCTGGGGTGCGGGATCTGAGAGCTACAGGCTGTCTCAGGATACTGGGCTCTACACAAGGACTCTGCCACTGAGCTAAGTCACAGCCCACCCAGATAGGTTTTGATTTTAAAATACAGATTTCAGTCTAGTGGTCAATGTCTTTAATCCCACTTGGGAGACAGAGCAGCAGGTGAATCTGAATTTGAGGCCAGCCTGGTCTACAGAGTGAATTCCAGGACAGTCAGGGATACACAGAGAAAAATAAATAAATAAATAAACAAACAAACATTTCAGGCTTATCCACTTATATATACATACACATTTATTTCAGGAGTATCTCCTAAAGCGGTTTTCTAGGACCAAGAATATTATTCTGTGCTCCTTTTCAGTTTAGCCAACCCTCATCCTAGACTCTGACACACCCCTCAGCCTTAAACTCTTTCCAAGTCCTCTGCTTCCCACAGGCTTTCCTCCATGTCAGAGTTTATGGGGGGCAATGGAGAGTGATGCTTCAGGGGACAGTTCCTGCAGCACAAGTCATCTGAGGTGAACGGAAACATGAGCACACCCGAGAGTCAACAGTGCAGAAAGGCCAGCTGTGCTGGCGCACATCTTTAATCTCAGCACGCGGGAGACAGAGGCAGGCCGGTCTCTGAGTTCGAGGCCAGCCTGGGCTGCAGCGTGACAGCATCTTTTCTTCAAAGGGAGGCAACTTTTGAGGGCCAGTGGGTTCCTTGTTAAATGACAAATACGGACTGGTGACCTCGCATGGAGGTGGCTCTAGTTCCCAACCTGCTGGAACCTGTTCTCACAGTGCACCCTCAGCTTCACGAAGCCCTAAGCAGAGAGACCATTCGAGAGAGTGTGCCATGGCTGTGATGGTCAGGTGAGGGAACCATGAGGAAGGAAATTAGGTCACCACGGGCAGACCTCGGGGGTTACTGGAATACTGGTCCCTTCCTCTTTGCTTTCCACCTTCCTCTGCTCCGTGCTCCAACCGCGGGAGGGGCACCTGGCCTTGCACAGAAATCTCTGAAATCATCAACAGGTACGTTTTTTCTTGATTAGCTGATTTTCTAGGTATCTTGTTACAGGGTCACGAGACTCAAGTCACCCTCCCCATCACTAGCTCATGAAGGTTTCAGACCTCTTGGCAGTCTGTGCAACTTTAAGAATTTCATGTGTGGCATCTTCCAACTTGAAATGCATATGTGATGCATTGGTAAGTTTTGTGTCCCTTCCCAAGATGGCTATGCCTGGCATGCTGCAGAAAAATGGCCTGTGGTGTCTGACTCTCACTGCTGGCTCAAGTGACAGATTGTGGTAAACAGCAGTTGTCACCAAGTCACCAAAGCCATGTCCTTCCCAACCAGTTCTGCCTGTTACCTTATGGCTTTTTTTTTTTCCCTTTTGAGGCAGGGTCTCACTTTGTAGGCCAGGCTGTCCTTGAACTCACAGAAACCATCTTGCCTCTGGCTCCCCAGTGCTGGGATTAAAGGTGTGTGCAAGCCTTGTTCCCTCAGTTTTGGATCCAGATCACTTGCCTTGGAGATGAGCTCATCATGATTGGCCAGATGGGCTCTGCAGTGGATACAGCTGTAAGTTCTGTGACAATGTGGCAGATAAGCTTGGAAAGTTTTGGACTTGGTCATTTTCACCATGTCTGCTGGGTGCTCGTCCCTCAGCTCCGGGCCAGCACTGGAGGACCTATGGCTCTGTCCGACTCTCTGACAGAAGAAACACTGGAACATACACGCAAGAGCCGTTGCTGGTCTGTAGGGCGTGTGGTGGTGTCCACACACTGGGGCAAGAGAAAACCAGTGCGACCTGCAAACAAATCAGACGGTGAGGAGGGGCGTTAGGGCTCAGGTGATGGGAGCAGGGAGCAGGCCTGGATGCTAAAGCTCTTTCTCAAGGCCAGGGTCTTATGCATAGGGAGCACAAGCTGGTTGCTAGGCTGCATCCTCTGCTCAACATCTATTTTGTCTTGAGGTTTTGCTTTTTTCAGGCAGGGTCTCTCTGTAGCCCAGGCTGCCTCAGTCTCGTCTGAGAGCTAAGTCTTTACACGTCCAGCTGATGTCGCGAGCCTGCTGTTTGAGAAGCGAAGGCAGGCACGTTGTGTCTGCACAACACAGCTGGGGAGTTGGCCGCAATGTGCCAAGTAACCCTGGTTTTAGCTTGACAGTGCAGACACTGCCAGTTCTTTGTACAGGTGGATGTGCAGTGCATGCATGTGCATGTCTGGGGGGACACATGTGCTGGGGATCAGCCATTCTCCCCCTCATCTGAAGAGACCTACCACTGTGTGCGTGTGTGTGTGTGTGTGCATGTGCATGTCTGGGGGGGACACATGTGCTGGGGATCAGCCATTCTCCCCCTCATCTGAAGAGACCTACCACTGTGTGTGCGTGTGTGTGTATGCATGTGCATGTCTGGGGGGGGACACATGTGCTGGGGATCAGCCATTCTCCCCCTCATCTGAAGAGACCTACCACTGTGTGCGTGTGTGTGTGTGTGCGTGTGCGCACGTGTACATGAGGTCAGTTCTCTCCTTCCACTGTGCTTCTCAGGGCTCAACACAGATTGTCATGACTGTGTGGCAAGTGCTTTTAGTTGCCAAGTCAGCTTAGGGACTCAGGTTCGGCTGGCAGCTCTGGGGATCCTTTCTCTGCCTCCCCAATACCATACCCAGCTTTTCATGTGAGCTCTAGGGTTTGAGCTCAGGCCTTCACACTTGGGCAACAAGCCGTAATCTGTTCAGCCATCTCCCTGGATTCTCTTCTGGTCTGACCTGTGTGTCCTCTTCACGCCTTACCCAGAGCCCCTTCCTCGCGCGCCCATTGTAATGGCTAATATTAACTCACGGTGCACATTTCCCACACTATTTTAAATATCTGTACATGTACAGGTTTCAGAATGGCTCAGAAAAGCTGAGTTGCAGAATTCAGAAGCAGAGAACTCATAGGCAGAAAGAAAGGTCTGGCCTAGCAAGGCAGTGCACACCTTTAATCCCAGCACTCAGGAGTCAGAAGCAGGAGAATCTTTTGAGTTTGAGGCCAGCCTGGTCTACAGACTGAGCTCCAGGGCAGTGAGGGCTACTTAGTGAGACCCTGTCTTGAAAAACAAAGAGAAAAGTCTATAGGGACCAGATCAGCCTTAGAATCGTGGGTGTAGACCTGTCCAGGTGCAAGCTTGTCACAGGTAGGTCTGGGTTACAGGCTGTGCCAGTCACCAGAGGCAGGAGAGACTGCACTGGACCTGGGGCTCTGGGGTCCTTGAGATGTGCACACCCCCGCCTCCAGGGTTCCTTTTCTATGGCCACAAGTAGGTTCCACAGGTCTGGTGTTGCTGGTATGTTTGGTCTGTTCACTGGTCATGGTTTATTAGTACAAACAAAAGCTATAGGTCTGCACCTCCCGCGGTGCTGGCAGACGGCACCTGCGTAGGCAGACCTGCAGTCAGACGGAGTAGCTGAGGTCCAGAGTGTTGATGAAGCACACAACACAGGAGCCTGGAGCAGACTCTCCATCTCAGCTTAGTGACAAGTGGTGAGCGAGCTGCTTTGTTCTTATCTTTGACTTTTTTGATCGAAACAAAACCCCAAGACTCCAGAACTGCCTTGCGTTGCCTGTTTTTTTTTAAATTAATTTATTTATTTATTATGTGTACAACACTCTGCTTCCCACACACCAGAAGAGGGCGCCAGATCTCATAGATGGTTGTGAGCCATCATGTGATTGCTGGGAATTGAACTCAGGACCTCTGGAAGAGCAGTCAGTGTTCTTAACCTCTGAGCCATCTCTCCAGGCCTCGTGTTGCCTGTTTTATATTGCTCCTCACACCCGACCTTGCTCCCTCTCCCCCTCAGTCCGTCAGTTCTAGCCACCAGAGCTTAGCCATAGGGTGGTCTGAGGGGCCATCGATGCCCTTTATTTACTCTGATGACTTTGAGTCCTAAGTAGCTTCCAGCCGGACCAGGGCCCCTTTCCCGGGTTTCATGGACTTTCTCATTTCTGTAGCAACTAGCCGGTGCCCTGCAGACACAGAGAGCTATTTTACATATAAATAATAGAAAGTGGGGAGAAAAACACTGTTTGACTCTGGGACTCATGAAGCATCAGCCAAGGCTCCTGAGTGACAGATCCCAGCAGTGCCACAGCCACGAGTGACAGACTTAACATTGCTAACACTGACTGAATAATCCTCTTTCTTTCTTTTTTTTTTTTTTTTTTGAGACAGGGTTTCTCTGTAGCTTTGGAGTCTGTCCTGGAACTCTCTCTGTAGACCAGGCTGGTCTTGAACTCACAGAGATCTGCCTGCCTATGCCTCCTGAGTGCTGGGGCTAAAGGCGTGCGCCACCACTGCCTGGTGACATTATTACTTGCCAGTTAAGGAAAACAGCTCCCCAGACTAGCCAGATGCTGTGTTGCTTCTGCACAGCACTGGAGGTGGGAGTCAGGGCCTTGCACATGCTAAGCCAGTGAGCTCCCCCGAGCTGACTTGTATTCCCAGGAATTTTGGGGTGTGTGCATGTGTGTTTATGTGTACATGAATGTTCATGTGTATGGGTGTGTGTATATCGAGAGCAGAGGTCAATCAACTGTGTATGTCTTTCTTCAGGAGCCACCCAACTGTTTATTTTGTCTTAGGTTTATTTTTATTTTATGTGCATGAATGTTTGCCTGCATGTATGTCTGTATACTATGTGCATGCAGTGCTCATGGCTGCCAGAAGAGGGCGTTGGGTCCTTGGGAACTGAAGTTACAAATGGCTGTGAGCTGCCGTATCAGCCATATCAGTGCTGGGAATTGAGCCCAGGTCCTTTGCGATGCGCAGTCTACACCCCTCCTAGTTGGATTTCAGTACTGTTGTGTGTATGTTGCATGTGTATGAGCGTAGGCACGTACAAGTCATGACACATGGAGATGCCATAGGACAACTTTGAGGAGCTGGTTTTCTCCTTTCGTCATGTCACTGTGGGGTCTCTTGTTCCTGCCACGGCAGGTTCCACTGTAAGCAGTGCTGCAGCTGAAGTGTGATCCATCTGGCTTTCCGTACGTTCCAGAGACTGACTCAGATTTGCAGGCTTGCACAGCAAAAGTTTTCACCTGCTGAGCCATCTCACCAGCCCTCTGTGTTTGAAATAGGGTCCCTCAGCGGCCTGGAACTGCCAATCAGGCTAAGCTGGATGGCTGGCAAGCGCAGGGATCTGTGGGTCTCTGTGTCTCTGGTGTGGGGATAGCTGCGTGTGTCCCATGTCATGGACTCTTAAGACTGGAACGTGAGAATCCAGAATCCACAGCTGCTCAGGCCACAGTACCTGCAGCAGCCCCTTCTCCTCTCCCAGGCACCAACAGGCACTGACTCACCTAAGTCTCAGGTCTACATCACAGGACATGGACCCATGCAGCCCCCACCCTGCCTGCGACTCAGAGCACCAGGCTGCAGGGTCTATCCTCAGAGAGCTACGCAGCCTACTTCTACCACAGGGGCCTGATTCCTCTCGGAGCCCTCCTCCCCCACGCTGTCTGCTCTTGGGTCTGGCACTCTGGAGTTCCCGCCATTCCGTTTTCTACCTACAGCACTGATAACCTTTCCAGTAAACTCCTCACGTCCAACAGTGCAGCCAATGCTCTTCATGCTGAGTCCCCTTGAGCCTACACCCAAGACCTTTCGCTCCCTGACATTTTCCCTTGAGCGCTGAGTCTTCCTCATGTTGGCCTCAAGCCCGTCAGCCTTTTGCCTCAGCATCCTGAGTACTGGCTGAGATTTCAGGTGTGCAGTTTCCAGTCCCAGTTTCCAGATGGGTCTTTTAAAAAATGCAGAGGAACTGTCAAGAGGCTCAGCAAGTAAGAGTGAGAATGAGGTCGTCAGGTGGGCCTGACAGAGGAGACCCCTCTTAAACCTGCGGCCCACACTGCAAGGCAGTCAAAGCCACCAGGGGAGACAGGTGTTGGCAAGCTGACGCAAGACCTCAGCAGAAACCAACCCTGTGGACTCCACCTTTCCTGCAGCCTCCAGCACCACCAGGGTTCGCACTTCCACAGACGATGCATGCAATGGGTCTTGGAGGCAGGAGAGCATCTAAAGCTCCCGCAGGCTGTCTCCCGTCCCGGGCCTATCCAAAACCACTGGGTGACTGTGCCCTTCCACAGTGCCCCATCTCGACACCACCTCATTTGGTCTTAGTGTTTCTGTCATGGCAGCTGTGTCCTATGGATGGATGGCCCCAAGGGATGCCACTGTGCCGTCCAAGTTGTGCTCAGGGTGCAATGTCATGGCCACATGGCTGCTTGTGTTCTTTTGGGCGACTGCCACAAATGCTCACGGTAGCTTGTGGGTTCGCAGCAGCCCTCAGGCTGGTCAGTGTGTAGTGGCCCCACGGATGGCTTGTCTTTGGTAGACAACAGGTGTGTCACCGAACAGCTCTGGGAGCAGAGGGGGTCAGGACATATCCTGTCTGCCAGTACGGCCACATCTGAGTATCTTCCCGTGTCACAGGTATAAGACAGCATGGGGTTGGGGCTTTCATTTGCTTCCAGCTGGCCACTCACACAAGAGACATAAGATACAGTCTCGTCTGCGACACTGTTCTCCAGGGGCTCCACTTTCACGGGATGACATTCACTTCCATTACATCTGTATTTATACAAGCGTCTATAACATTCTAAGACAACATGGACAACCTGGCAGCCTGCATGGGGTCCCCTCAGACTCATAGGCTGGTGACCTCCACATGGAGTGCTGGGTTCCCAGGGCAGCATATGCATCTGGCCCCACATCACTGAGTCTTAGAGATTATGGAGGCAGGGAACTGGCTAGGTTCA